CAATAGTTTTGAACAATGTTTGAAGAAGAAGAATCCTTTGATTTTCCCAGCCTGGATAAGTTAGGACATGCGTAGCACGTCGTCACCAAAATTGATCTGTCACCCTCGCTTGACCAAACGAGTTTAGCTATGGTGTCTAGTTTCATTATTAATTTTAGTATTATTGCCGAATACTGAAACTTATTATTCATAAAAGCACATGTCGAAATGTCTGTTTGCTTAAATGATAACATCGATCCTCCACTGTGTTGCTAAACAAAACGTGAATAAAGACCTACTACAACCACGTTTTCAACCCACATAAAGGAAAGTGCAAAGTGGCGGGTACTAAAACATTTCATCATGTTATCAAAGGGGGGGGGGAATCAAAGTGTGATAATTTCAGAGGCATCGTGAAACATGTGTTTACTAGTAGAAGGTTATATGATTCAGACTGTTGAACAGTTGGAGTGAGAGATCGCAATTTAGGTAAACATAATCGTCAAAGTTAAGTATGTGGTGATAAGAAATATAATGCCTACACAAGGAAACGAAGTGAATGAACACCTTAGTTTTATTGTTTCAGCCCTAATAGATGGTTCTCAGCTACCTGTAATCCACCCCACGTAATGGCGAAACTACGTATCGTTTTTTTAATTCATCCATGTGTATCAACTCCCTTGATGGTCATAATGAATTCGACAGAGTGAAGGGCACTATAGAGTGAGTAATTGAGATGGTCACTAACATAGAGAAATTTTAATGATGAAGATTGTTGGAGTTACACATACATATATATTTAGAGCCATACGACCTCTTTCTGTGGAGTAAGGAATGCAGCGTTAAATGCAGTATGCAAAGAATACGTTAGAGGCTTGTGACCTGTGAAGAGGATAAAGTTACGACCTACTACTGCATGTCGGAAATGTTTGATGGCACAGTAGGCTGCTAGCAGTTCGCGACCAAAAGCCCTATATCTCGTCTCAGTGGGAGTAACGCATCGTGAGAAAAATTCGAGAGGTTGCCAACTTCCGTCGTAGCTCGTCTGCCGCGTGATGAATAAAACATTGGTAAAAGTTAACCAAACCGAGAAAAGCCTTCAGTTACTTGAGTGAGGATGGTACATTGTACTCCATGATTGTACGTACTTTATCTTCACGATGTAGTATACCCTCATGCTTAGTGATGTGACCCAATAATCTTGTTTCTACCTTGCCCAGTTCACACTTGTCTGGGTTAAATACTATTCCATTATCCGAAAGGCGTTGGAATAAGAGCGTAAGATGTTATAATAATAATAAAAATATTTATTCCTAAAAATCTACTTTACAAGAGGCATGCCAACTTACAGGCGTGATCAAATTGTCACAAATGCTTTCACATTTACTGTAAGAGTTATAGCAGTTAAATTAAGTATAATAGTAAGTTTCTGATAGCATATTTACACCATGTCATTGACACAAACAATATAATACGGTCATATTTTCAATAGAAGAGTATAAATAATGAAGGTGCACAATAGGTTCCTTTGGCGACTAGCCGAGATCAATAGTGAATTTGCTGGGAAAGGTCAGTTGGAACGTGCGTGATACGAGCTGTGATCCTGTAACGAAGTCAAAATCATTATGTATGATGTTGCTCACCCGTTCTGTTTTCTTTCTGCAGTCCACGTGAATCGACTAGCGATTCATAGTGCTGTAGGAAATTGATACCGAGTATGGCTGTGGGAACATTAGCAACGTCCACATATACTATGGTCAGTAACTCAGGTTTACCGTCAGCTGTCGTGTGCCATAGGTAGGAGTGACAAAGCCATTCACAGCGCGTAGACGAAGCATCATAGGTTCAGACTTGCTGATAGTTGTCTCGATTGCTATTCCGCGCTATAACTTTGTGTGCAACGAGGGCAGCCTGCCTAAGTGGCATATCCTCGGCCAGAGCGGCGATCGTAGGCTGAACATGGACTGGTTAGGCCTCTAGCCACAATTCTCTGACTATGTCAGAGTCAGATGCCGTCGGTCCTGTCAATGGTTACAGGCGCGTGAGTTGGTGGCTTGGCTTAGCATCTTTCAGGGGGTGACGTGCTAACAGTGTCTTCAACTGTTCCTCCTTTGATGGGAGGAGATGTCTAAGAATCGCCTATTTAAGGCGATCATATGCATTAGTAACTGTGTGGTTGAGAACGACCTCACGAACGGCGGCTATGTGATCCAAAAAGGAGAGAGTCCAAAGCGTAGCTAACGAAATAACTAAATATGACGCAGCACTGAGTTCATTGTATTTTGAGTGTATTGTATTACGTACTAAACATACCACTTTGCGGGATAACAAGTATTAATCCCATTACTCTAGTAATCAGAAAAAAGGAGATTTTAGAGGAAGAAGTGTATTTAATGCTAGCCTCGTGATATCGAAATAATATTGAGGCCAGAGGGCTTGCAAACGGCTAACATCCACTCAGGACACGTGCGAAGAGGAGAATGGGAAAAACACGCCTGGCGCGCGAGAGATAGTCTTTAGTACAGAAAAACAAGGGGTGTACATTATAACAATTATTTTCAGAATTATGCAAACTAATAAATGTTTTTATTTCAGCAACTGTCTTTTCTTCGTTAAAGTATACCACTACACATTTATTCACAGCCGGCTACGTCAAATACTTTGGATCGGTTGGCCAGACATCACCAGCAACTACTCACTGCGGATGGGAAACAAGTCTCCATTCAGATAATAATGTTATTTCGGAAGAAGGGTTGGAAGTTGGTATGACATTGGGGAAAGCACCCAACTGCATCCCCGAATTTGGATTCTCGAGGTCCAAGGAAAGGAGGTAGACCGACGAAAACATCACGGCGAGAAATCGAGACGGAAATGTGAAGAATGAGTAAAACGTAGACAGAAATGAAAAGGGAGGCCCGTGAAATAATAGGATGGAGAATTCTGATATGCAACCTACGCTCTTTATGGGGTAACAGGCCTCAGTAATTCACTCGGTCACACATAAACTCTAATAGGTACAGTTCGACTGATTTGAAACGCTCGTCATAAAATTCGAATGTGAGTCCTCGAAATTATCTTTAGCTATCATACAGCTAGGTCTGTTAGTCAAAACATCTATTTCTCTATCTAGAAACATTAAAATAATCATCTACATATTGGACTGGACAATCTTGAAACAATGTGCAGAAGTCATCTGTTAACTGATATGTGACCTGCTCAGGCATTCACTGGAGTCACGTCAACTGCCAGCTGAAAAGAAACAAGCTACTCTCTCTCCAATATTCAAAGGAGAAGACAGAAAGGACCCAGCTTGTTACAGACCAGTTGCATTACTATCAATACTATCACAAGTAATGGAAGGGCTGGTGGACGGATAAATGAGTGAGTACACGGATAAGAAAAAAATACTCCATGAAGCTCAACACGGGTTTCGGGAAGGCAGGTCATGTGCATCTAATCTCATTGCATGGGGCAGTTGGACATCCTGTTTGGATCGTAAAATACCGGTGCAAAAAATATTACTCGACTTTGCAAGAGCCTTTGACACAGTACTGCTAGCGCACCCAATCGTAAAGGTTGTGGAAATGGGCTTTACTGACCCACTAGTATCTTGGCTCAGAAACTACCTTGAGAATAGAAAGTTTCGTACCAAGGTAAATAGAGTGCACGCGAGCTGGCGAGTATCACATCGGGAGATTCATAGGGGACCATCCTAGGCCCACTTCTCTTCCTGATATTTATTAACGACCTTTTAGGCTCAGTTAGCTCACCGGCTTTGATCTACGCAGACGATGCGAAGATCTGGAGGTCCATTAGCAGCGAAGAGGATTCGGCTGAGCTTCAAAAGCACCGTACACCTATTGATGAATGGGCAGTGGAAAACGGTTTAAAACTTAACCAACCGAAGTGCCATGTCATGTATATTCTGCCTCATTGGACGCAAACGATCTACACCCTCAATGGGAGTCCGCTCCTTAATGTCTCCTCAGAGCACGATCTCGGTTTAATAACCACAGAAAGCCTCCACACAAGTCCGAACTATGTAGGGGACGCAGGCAAGACAAATGCGACTCGTCGCTTTATGCGAAGACAACTTGGTGCTATCGCTATTTACGACGTATGCGCTCCCACACCTGGGGGTTCACAAATCATCGCACCCCCTCTGCTCAAAAGAGACATAAATCTCTTGGATCAAGTGCAGAGACGAACAACCAAATGGGTGATAGGGTTGAAAAATAAGCCTTACGATGATAGACCCCAGCACTTGGGATTATTTCCTCTGGGCTACAGGAGAACCAGAGATAATCTGATTATGGCGTACAACATATCAAGCGCGCCAAAACATCCCAATGTGAGCATCTTACCGATGCATAACCATCACTCCCCTCAAGGCAATACTCGTAAGATTGCTCATCAAAGGGCGAATACTCAGATTCGTGCACACTTTTTCCCACTGCGAGTCGTTGCAAATTGGAATGCTCTCCCAGCCGAGGTGACCACACCCCCCTCAGTAGACAGCTTCAAGAACAGACTTGATAATCATGTACTCACATACGGATTATCATCTCCCTCTTGGACAAGCTGTTAATGATGCATTTCTTGAGTCCTGCAAGTTGTTATCATAGCCATCTCCATAGATCACAAAATTTATTTATGTCTCGTATCATCTCTGTATCCTCTCCCTTGCCTACACTTCGGTCCTCCCTCACAACAATTAATAAACTAAATCATAAATATTACTTAGTTCTGAAATTTTATTCAAATTACCATTAGAATTTAATCCTTATTATCCTTATGATTCTCCACATCACAAGTAAATGATCTCCGGTCTCGTAATGTGATTGCTGCTGGTATCCGTAAACCCTACTGCCGTGAAACAAACGTTTTCATTCAAATCCCGAGACATACAAACTCACAACCAACTGCCGACTGACCAGCATTAGAATGTCGAGTGGCTCGACTCGCATTCATTGGACACTACCGAACACCTGTAACCGTACCGAAAGAACAAGAATCGAGCGCAAAGAAATCAACTGGTTTATACCAGCTCATGATAAAGATATTGGATAATGCATATTGGATTTTGAAGGTCACTAGTCAATTGGGTTTACTGCGTTACAAGGATTAGTAAGCGATGGAAGAGATTGGGCTAGCTACGCAGAACTCAAAGGTAAAGTTAACTTAAACCACATTATGGCTGTTCAGGAATCGGAGATATTTGAATGTTCAGGAGTAAATTTTAGCTATGTAGATCCTCTTCAGCTTAGCGAGGAAGATCTGTATGTAAAATTGAAGGTAACTTATCAGCACACCGGATTTTAGTGTTCATTAGAGCCTTAGGAAGCAGATTGAGTTCATTCAGGTTCAAGAGAATTACATCAAAGACGAACAAAAAAACTTGAAGAAGGAGTATTTGCATGCTCAAGAAGAAGTCAAACGAATCAAAAGTGTTCCTCTCGTTATTGGGCAGTTTCTAGAAGCTGTCGATCAAAGCACTGGAATTGTAGGATCCACAACTGGTATTACGTCTATTACTTGAGATCAGTTTTTGACAGGTTCGAACTACTACGTCCGGATATTATCCACAATCGATCGCGAGCTGTTGAAACCAAGTGCCAGCGTCGCCCTCCACAAACACAGCAATGCCTTAGTTGATGTCCTTCCTCCAGAAGCAGACAGTAGTATTACAATGCTTCAAGCTGGTTAGTTAACTAGTTTTTTACACTAATATAGAATGAATGCTCTATAGAACCATTAGGACAATCTAAGCTATTGACATCCAACTTTATGTTGATACGTCTTAATTTTAGTAATTATGAATGACACTAGAGGAAAAAACAAATATCGCGAAGACTGCTTACCTAACTTGTAAATTTTCATTCGATTGACGCAGTTATAAAACATTATTTGTAAGGTATTATGCCTATTTGAGTTAAACTGCTATTTTTATTACAACTAATATCTGCATCTAGTATTTTAATTCCCAAATAAATCACAGGTGCGTTAATCAATGTCTGCAGCTTTAAAGTTGCAGAGTGCCTTTAATGAGGCATTTGGCAGCCGAATACCTAAATGAAAAGCGTAGGATATCCTGTACCTTAACTGAATAGTACCCATAATATATTCGCAACATGAAGAGGTTCGAACTATTGGTCAACCGTCACTGTAAGAAGAACAGCAAGCTGTTGACAGAAATTCTGTACATAAATTTTTGGACGAAAGATTTGTCTATGGAATGAGCTATCTTACATAAAGGTGTACGCTGGTGCTCCTTTTAATGATACAAGTAGCAGATGTAAAATAAAATTATCTTTAGGTAAACTAGCTCATTAATGAATCGTCCGCTTATGTTTTAGTTACACTTTTCAAAGAACTTAGAGTTTGGATTATTTACTTGTGCTTTAATCTAAATAAGCACTTAGTTACACTATCTACAGCAAACGTAACCAGTGCAATCTTGATTTTTAACGAACGTTTGATATCCATAAATGGAATGGGGTGTCCTGTGAAATTCGTGCATCTCTCTCTGTTCCTTCATGTGCAAACTTTAATTGTTTTACTTAAAAACCACAAACATTATATCTACCTGATATAATCATGGAATAAAGTAGTATTCGTGACGGTACAATATAACAGATGGCTTGGGTCGCCGAACCGGTGATTCGTTCTCTTAAAAACTTCCGTTAATGAATAACAGAATAAACTAAAAAAGTAAGGGTTGCTTTTTACAGCATGCTTAACCAAAGTAGTTAAGGCTATCACAAATTACTATAGTAAAGGTAGGGATCACACGCTAATAAATAATCCTTTAAGTTTATCTCGTCGAAATCTTTCTACTTTATATTATTCATTTTCCAACTCAGACAAAGGTTCTCTATCCCAGGAGTTTGTAGTTACATTACTTAAACGTCCGATAGTTTTAGTAACTTTTTCTTTCCTCTTTTATGAACATGACGATACTCCAATATTCAGATCCTCCTGACTTTGGTCCCACTACCAAACAAATAAAATACACTTTTGCTCATTTGTTTTCCTCTAAAATTTTAGATGAGAAACCCGACGTATCCTACGCCGATATTGGTGGTATGGATATTCAGAAGCAGGAAGTGAGAGAAGCTGTTGAACTGCCTCTAACTCATTTCGAATTATACAAGCAGATTGGAATTGATCCACCTAGAGGAGTTTTAATGTATGGTCCTCCAGGTTGTGGAAAGACAATGTTAGCCAAAGCAGTCGCCCATCATACTACTGCTGCCTTCATTCGTGTTGTTGGATCAGAGTTCGTTCAAAAGTATCTGGGAGAAGGTCCTCGGATGGTTCGTGATGTATTTCGTTTGGCCAAAGAAAATGCTCCAGCAATAATATTTATTGATGAAATCGATGCTATCGCCACTAAACGATTTGATGCTCAAACTGGAGGTAAGCTTTCTCAAAACGTTTGCATTAATCTGCACATTCCCGACCGTAGCTGCTACCTTGACGTGCTGGTCGGGCTAGCCTATCGTGATGACCCAACCGAGCTATATTGGTTGAAACTTATGTTCTTGAAGGTTCTACCATGCCAGGCAAGTGGATTGGAGAACGATGAGACTAAAAGCAGTTACTCAAGGTCTGAGAGCGAAGTCGTACTGCCTGCCGACTGCAGAGGAATGTGACAGCAGTAAGGTGTTTCCCTCGCACAACCAGTATGTGCAGCGATGCTGCCCTCACAAGGAAGGAAGAGTTAGTAAAGGTCGACCCTAAAAATGTCACACCTCACCCAACCTCACGGATTTTCGTCTCCGTCAGTAAGGGCTGCCAATAATGGCTTTAAAAGAGCGGAGCTAATACTCTCCAAGAACAACACTAATCTACGTTCCTTTTCAGGTCCCTCAAGAAACACCCTTCCATGGTGTGGGCAGCCGAGAAGTGACAACCGCACTCATACCCGTGAAAGCGAAAGGGACCAAATCGATCACAAAAAATCCTTCCTATACCCCCTAATATCTCTCTTATCTTCACGACAAACTCTTCTCAAATTCCTTTATCACCCCGCACAGCTAATGCGAACGATGCGAGTTCACGAAACGTCGTTTCTGGTCTCCTTAAACCCCGTTCTAGACTACATGTTGGAGCATTTAATGTACGGACATAGTGTCAAATAGGGCAACAGGCATCACTAGCTAGGACTTTATAATCTCGTGCCATCGATGTGTGCTGCTTCTTGGGAACGCACATACAGGATCCGAGTAGCATCATTCACTTGACCTCACCATGTCAAGATAAAGAAGCAGCTCGATTTACTCTTCGTGTATCCGGTAGCCCTGATTCTGCTTCCCGGGGTCTTGCTGGTTTAGGTATAGCATTGAGTCGTAGTGCAGAACAATCTCTCCTTGACGGGATCCCTGTAGATAGTCGCTTGTGCGCCGTCCGACTAAACGGGACAGTAAGGATTCGAAGAGATAGGGACACTCGTCGTTGCCTCTTCGTCATATCAGCCTACGACCCCACTGAATGCAGTCCAGACGATGTGAAAGATGAGTTTTACGGAAAGCTTTCGGACCTCCTCCAAAAATTTAAGCGCTCTGATATAGTTATTATGGCTGGTGACTTCAATGCTCAAGTAGGTAGACTAAGTGAAAATGGTGGATGTTATGGTCTCGCGGCTCAGAGGACAGACAATGGCGACCGTCTGTTGCAACTGTGCTCAGATAACCGCCTATTTCTAGCAGACACTAATTTTAAGCATAAGGAAAAGCATATCTTGACCTGGAGACCGCGGAAGTCGTCTCAACGTTGGACGCAACTAGATCATATCGCAATCAGCCACCAATGGAGGGGTTCGATAGAGGACTGTCGCTCGTTGTGGGGCACATGTTTAGATTCAGATCATGCCCTAGTGCGAGCGCGTATTTGTTTGTGGCTTACTGGGCGTAGGAAAGACACCGTAAGGAAGCCTCTTAGGGCTTTACTTAATGATAATCAAGCTAAGAAAATATTTCAGGAGGAACTAGAAAAACAGTTAGGCGACCATGTAAATGATTTCCATCCCGTAGCAGCGTAGAATGATATCCAAAAAGCTGTGGAAACAGCAATGATATCTGCTAGTAAAGTAAACCATAAGGCTAGGATGAAGCCGTGGATCTCAATAGCATCCACCGAACTGATGGATGCTCGGAAACTTATCCCACGTGGCTCTGAACATGATGAAGAGGGAAGTCAGCTTCAGTGCAGGCTGATAAAAAGCCTATGCAACGACCGCGATCAGTGGTATGTGACGAAAGCCAAAGCAATCGAAAAGGCAGCATCGATAGGCAACAGTAGGCAACTATTTATACTCATCAAGGAAACCAGCATTATCTCAGAAAAGGATCGCTGTATCATTTATTCTCGATCCAGGCGATTGTATCGATGGGCAGAACACTTTAGGGATCATTTCAACTGGCCTCGAGCCACACTTCGGTTGCCCACGATCCCTAGTCAACCTGAATGGCAAATGGACTTAAGTCCTCCTAGTCTTTATGAAGTTGAGAAAGCTATAGTAAATCTAGAGCGAGGTAGAGCGGCAGATCCTGGTAGGTTGACTCCCGCGATTTCTAAGTATGTTAGCCCAGTTTTAACAGCTAGATTTACGAAGATCATAGCTAGAATCTGGAAACTGGACGTAATCCCATCCGACTTGTCTCAGTCGCTAATTGTCTCAATTTACAAGAAAGGACGAAAGTCCTCCTGTGACAATCACAGGGGAATCAGTTTAACCAATATAGTTTCTAAATTGTCGGCCTCGATCGTACTTAGAGTCTTAAGTAGAGCTCGTGAAGAGCAGATCTGGAGTGGACATATAGACCAGATATTCACACTTCTTTAGGTCTTAGAACATGGACACACGTTCTGACGCCCCACAATAGTAGTGTTTCTCGACCTTAAGCCGGCATTTGACCCTGTCGATCATAAGGTTCTGTGACAATGTCTTTCATTAAAAGTTATACCAAATATGTACATTAACCTTATACAGGCTCTTTAATCGAACGCTACTGGTCGAATGAGAGCCTCTGGTGAACTGTCATCGAGGTTACTCACTTCCAGTGGTGTTTGTCAACGATGTTCACATTCGTAAAGTGTGACATCCATAGGGTCGACCTTTTCTATCCTCTTCATTACTTGTGAGAAGGCAGCATCGCTGCAGATGCTGGTTGTCTGAGGGAAACACCCTTCTGCTGTCACACTTCTCTACAGTCAGCAGTACGACTTCGCCCTCAGACCTTGAGTAACTGCTTTCAGTCTCATCGTTCTCCAATCTACTTGCCTAGCATGGTAGAACCTATGGAAGCATGTTTCAGCCAATATAACTCGGTTGGGTCATCACGATAGGCTAGCCCAACCAACACGACAAGGTAATACCTGTGGTCGAGAATCATCAATCACGAGTTGATTTAATCCCAGGGAAACTCATTTTATGTTCAATCAAATGAATTGATTTCCTATATCCTTACTTATAATTCACACCAATTTTTAGAGCTAATAATGCTGTCGGGCTTTCAAAAATAACGTAGGTGCAGTAGAGTTCAAACCAGGTACTTAGTGGTTGAAAGTTGAACCCCTGAGCTACCATGCTACCGCTCCACAGTTAAATGTATGCAACAAAGTTAAAACTACATAAGTACATTTTCGGTGTTGTCCTGATATTTTTTTATTTCATCACCTGGTAAGGATCCAGATTTTTCTGACTATTATTATTATTATTCTCTTACTAGCCGATCGTGAAGTACAGCGTATTTTGTTAGAATTGTTAAACCAAATGGACGGGTTTGATCAAAATGTAAATGTAAAGGTGAGTTTACTGGACAGGTGTATTTTTGAAATAAATAAATTCACAATTCAACTTCCCTGTATAAAGTATAAACTACCTATACTATTAGTTTCTGATAAATTGTTTCGTTTTCACGAAAGTTTATCCTGAATTAAGTCTACGGTCCCATTCTTCAACAACTAAAAAACACGATGCAAGTTCAAATAATGCCGACTTGTTCAATATTTCATAAATCTTAACTCACATTTTTCAGTTGTGGTAATTGTTTAAACAAGTAGTAGTCACACTGTTTAATGTATTTTCACTAGCTCATAATAGTGTAAAGGAATTTTCGGGCACGCGAAAATTTCAACAATAATTCTTATTGTCTCTTGTACTCATAGTCATAGTACTTATGATCTGAAGCTGAAAGAGGATTGCATTCACAATAGATCGAAACAGGTATTTTCAATATTCTAATTTCATGTTAACCGATATACAATGGTTTTTATATGTCCTAACTAGACACAAGAAAAATATCACAAGAAAACCTCTGAGGGCTCTACTTAATGATAATAAAGCCTAGAATATATTTCAGGAACAACTAGAAAAACTTACGCGGCCATGTAGTAAGTGATGCCCACCCTGAGGTAGCTTGGAATGATATCAAAAAGGTTGTGGAAAAACAGCACTGATATCTCGGAAAATGATGGTCTTATTATTCATTCTCAATCCAGGAGATTGGATCGATGGGCAGAGCACTTTAGGGACCAGTTCAACTGGCCCTCAGCCACACTTTGGTTGCCCACGATCTCCAGTCAACCTGAATGGCAAGTCGACGTAAGCCCTCCGGCTGTTTATGAACTGAAAAGCTATAGTAAATCTGAAGCAAGAGAGAGCAGCAGGACCCGATAGATTGACTGAGATGTTAGCTCGAATCTGGAAACTGGGCGTAATACCATCCAACTGGTCTCAATCACTGATTGTCCCAGTTTATAATAAACGACAAAAGTCTTCTTATGACAATCACAGGGGAATCAGTCTGACTAATATAGTATCTAAAATATTGGCCTCAGTAATAGTCCGACGCTTAACGAAAGCTCGTGAACAGCTGACTAGAGATAACCAGGCCGGTTTTCGACCTGAACGTGGCTGTATAGACCACATCTTCACACTAAGACAGGTTTTTGCACACATACAAAAATTTCGGCGTCCGACAATAGTTGTCTTCCTGAACCTTAAGCTGACATTTGAATCTGTCGATCGTGAGGTTCTGTGGCAGTCCCTATCATTAAAAAGTGTACCAAAGAAGTCCCGACCGTAGCTGCTACCTTGACATGGTGGTCGGGCTTGCCTATCGTGATGACCCAACCGAGCGATATTGGCTGAAACTTATGTTCTTGAAGGTTCTACCATGCCAGGCAACTGGATTGGAGAACGATGAGACTAAAAGCAGTTACTCAAGGTCTGAGAGCGAAGTCGTACTGCCTGCCGACTGCAGAGGAATGTGACAGCAGTAAGGTGTTTCCCTCGCACAACCAGTATGTGCAGCGATGCTGCCCTCACAAGGAAGGAAGAGTTAGTAAAGGTCGACCCTAAAAATGTCACACCTCACCCAACCTCACGGATTTTCGTCTCCGTCAGTAAGGGTGCCAACTGAGGGCTTTCAAGAACGGAGCTAACACTCGAAAAACCCTTCCTAAAAAGGCCGTGCGTGACCGTCCTCAAGCAGTTATCCATTGGGCTCTACGGTCAAACACCCAGGTCGTTCAGACCAACACTAATCTATCTTCCTTTTCAGGTTCCTCAAGAAACACCCTTCCATGGTGTGGGCAGCGGGGAAGTGATAACCGCCCTCATACCCGTAACAGAACACGAGACCGAATTGGTCAAAATCAAATCCTTCCTACACCCCCTAATACCTCTCTTCTCACATTAATTTATCACAGTGCACAGCTAATGCGAACGATGCGAGTTCACGAAACGTCGTTTCTGGTCTCCTTAAACCCCGTTCTAGACTACATGTTGGAGCATTTAATGTACGGACATAGTGTCAAATAGGGCAACAGGCATCACTAGCTAGGACTTTATAATCTCGTGCCATCGATGTGTGCTGCTTCTTGGGAACGCACATACAGGATCCGAGTAGCATCATTCACTTGACCTCACCATGTCAAGATAAAGAAGCAGCTCGATTTACTCTTCGTGTATCCGGTAGCCCTGATTCTGCTTCCCGGGGTCTTGCTGGTTTAGGTATAGCATTGAGTCGTAGTGCAGAACAATCTCTCCCTGACGGGATCCCTGTAGATAGTCGCTTGTGCGCCGTCCGACTAAACGGGACAGTAAGGATTCGAAGAGATAGGGACACTCGTCGTTGCCTCTTCGTCATATCAGCCTACGACCCCACTGAATGCAGTCCAGACGATGTGAAAGATGAGTTTTACGGAAAGCTTTCGGACCTCCTCCAAAAATTTAAGCGCTCTGATATAGTTATTATGGCTGGTGACTTCAATGCTCAAGTAGGTAGACTAAGTGAAAATGGTGGATGTTATGGTCTCGCGGCTCAGAGGACAGACAATGGCGACCGTCTGTTGCAACTGTGCTCAGATAACCGCCTATTTCTAGCAGACACTAATTTTAAGCATAAGGAAAAGCATATCTTGACCTGGAGACCGCGGAAGTCGTCTCAACGTTGGACGCAACTAGATCATATCGCAATCAGCCACCAATGGAGGGGTTCGATAGAGGACTGTCGCTCGTTGTGGGGCACATGTTTAGATTCAGATCATGCCCTAGTGCGAGCGCGTATTTGTTTGTGGCTTACTGGGCGTAGGAAAGACACCGTAAGGAAGCCTCTTAGGGCTTTACTTAATGATAATCAAGCTAAGAAAATATTTCAGGAGGAACTAGAAAAACAGTTAGGCGACCATGTAAATGATTTCCATCCCGTAGCAGCGTAGAATGATATCCAAAAAGCTGTGGAAACAGCAATGATATCTGCTAGTAAAGTAAACCATAAGGCTAGGATGAAGCCGTGGATCTCAATAGCATCCACCGAACTGATGGATGCTCGGAAACTTATCCCACCTGACTCTGGACATGATGAGCGTAGTCAGCTTAGGCGGAAACTGATAAAAAGCCTACGTAAAGACTGCGAACAGTGGTGGGTGGCGAAAGCAAAAGCGATGGAAAAGGCAGTGGCGATAGGCAACACTAGACAACGTTTCCGCCTTATCAAAGAAACCTGTATTAGGAACCCGAATGTGAGGGATGGTCTTATTATCCATTCTCAATCCAGGAGACTGGATCGATGGGCAGAACACTTTAGGGATCATTTCAACTGGCCTCGAGCCACACTTCGGTTGCCCACGATCCCTAGTCATCCTGAATGGCAAATCGATTTAAGTCCTCCTAGTCTACATGAAGTTGAGAAAGCATTAGGAAATCTAGAGCGAGGTAGAGCGGCAGATCCTGGTAGGTTGACTCCCGCGATTTCTAAGTATGTTAGCCCAGTTTTAACAGCTAGATTTACGAAGATCTTAGCTAGAATCTGGGAACAGGACACAATCCCATCTGACTGGTCTCAATCACTGTCCCAACCTATAAGAAAGGACAAAAGTCTTCTTGTGACAGTCACAAATGAATCAGTCTAACTAATATAGTATTCAAGATATTGGCCTAAATAATACTTCGACGCTTGTGAAGAGCAAACTCGAGAAAACCAGTCTGATTTTGACCTGGACGTGGCTATATAGACCACATCTTCACTCTCTCCATTCTTGTTAATTTTATCATAGACATGCTCTTAGAAATAATCTTATCCTCGTCTGAATTTTCAGGATTAAACCTTTTACCAGATGGCTCGCTTATTGACTTAGAATATGCCGATGACATTGTCCTACTTGGTGAAGACGCTGACAAAATGCAGAGTTTTCTGACCACCCTAAGCAACAATGCAAGCATGTTCGGGATGCGGTTCTCACCCTCGAAATGCAAAATGTTGCTTCAAGATTGGGTTGCATCGGCACCTGAACTAGCGATAGGGAGTAAAGTAGTCGAGCGTGTTGATCACTTCACTTATCTAGGGAGCCTCATCAGCGCTGATAGCCTGGTCACTGACGGAATCTCAGCACGGATACAGAAGGCTCGATTGGCTTTTCCAACCTGCGTCACTTATGGCGTAGGCGACATATCCGTTTGCTGACTAAAGGACGAGTGTACTGTGCAGCAGTTCGCTCCGTCCTACTGTACGGATGCGAAATATGGCCGTTAACAGTAGAAGATGTTCGTAGGTTACTATTCTTCGATCATAGATGTTTAAGAAGCATTGCTCGCATACCGTGGGACAACCGAGTAAGCAATGCTGTCGTTAGGAAGCGGGTGCTAGGTAAGGATGGCAATTCAATAGATGAAGTATTTGAAACTTCATCAGTTGAGGTGGTTGGGACATGTGTTTCGAATGCTTAACCACCGACTGCCTCGACGAGCTATGTTTTGTGGTGTAGGAGTAGGTTGGAAGAAAGCTAGGGGCGGCCAAACCAAAACGTGGCAGAAATCCATGAAGTCACTGACAAGTGGACTGACTCATGTCGGTAGGTTTCGACAACCATTCTGAGGTCCGCGAGACGATAATAACTGATGGGCAGAGACCCGGAGTGACATGGCTCGAAACCGTTTGCAATGGCGCAGGTGCATAAACAGACAGATAGATGGATACAGCGCTGAACGTCGTACGTGATTACATCAGTTCAGGTTGCCATTCCACATCAGCACAGAGATGCAACTGTCAGTCCATATCCAAGAGTGATAGCGATAGTAGAATTATTAGCAGTAATGGAGAAGATTAGGGAGCGAAGATATGATTCGAGAAGTATAATTCAGTGAGATAAATTTAGAAGGAGAAAGGTAGAGATAATGAGGAGTTCATAAGGTCAAAATTAGAGAGAACACAAAGAGTGGATGCACCTGCGCCATTGCGAACGATTCTGAGCCATGTCGTTCAAGGTCTCTAACCATTGGTGACTTTCGTCTCGCGGATTCCAACCAGATAGCCTACATCTACCAACATGACTCAGTCCACTTGTCAGTGACTTCATGGATTTCCGCCATATTTTGGTTCGGCCGCCCTTAGCTTTCTTCCAACCTTTTCCTATATCGCAAAACATGGATCGATGAGGCAGTCGGTGGTTAGGCGTACGTGACACATCCCAACCATCTCAAATCATGAAGTTTCAATACTTCATCTACTGACCTGCCATCCTTACCTATACTCGTTTCCTAACGACAGCATTGCTTATACGGTTATCCCAGGATATACGAGCAATGCTTCGGAAACACCGACGATCGAAGACTAGTAACTTACGAAAGTCTTCTACTCCTAACGGCCACGTTTCGGATCCGTTTAGTAGGACAGAGGGAACTGCTGAACAGTACACTCGTCCTTTAGTTAGCAAACGGATATCTCTCTTTCGCCATATGTAACGCACGTTGGCAAAAGTCAATCGAGCCTTCTGTATCCGTGCTGAGATTCCGTCAGTCACCAGGTCATCAG